GTGTAGTGAAATGACTGTGTAACGAATTTGTTATGATATATCTATCTTAATATCAACGTTTGTTTGGATTAAATTTATATTTAGAAACGTACATGGCTTATACTGTTAAATATGTATTCCGAAGCTCCCGCCTATTCCCCAAAGTTGCAGAAGATTCTCATTAGTAAGAATCAACAATATATGTATGTACGTAAACACTTGTGTTAGCTTCAGTATTGTTACGTAAAACTGAAATTTCTAGAAAGCCTCTCCACACGCCTAGAAATATAATCAACGCGACGCGCCAAAGAGAGTATGTATTATTAGTTCAATATAGTCAGTGTGCTATAAAACTTCGGAAGCTATAACTGTGATTGTTATAACGCTTACCAATCAGAAAACTTTAGATATTTGACCAGGAACCTTTACAAAGTTCGAACATTACAAATTATTTAACTTCAGTGGATTCTCATCGGACATTAGTATTTTTACGAAAACATTACCTAACGTCACCGATTGAAAAATCAGAATGTGATCAGTGAAGAACAAAGCTAGCTAGCTTCCCCTTAAGTGAAATATACCTACGTCAACTCGTAATCAACTCGCTCATCGTGAACCCTCGATAAGATATGGAAGAAGTTCCAGATTAAAAGGAAGACTTTATATTGCTTGTAACTTTATGAAACTTTTGTTTATAAATCATTGTTTGTAATAACTATTTGTAATAACTGTCAATGTAAATTATATTGTTATGTGTATATATTAAAACGTATTTGTGTTAGAAAAAAGAAACTGTGTGTATCACTCCTGTTGGTAACTATCATAAACTGACTATATGTCGGCTTTTACTTAACTACTAAATTTAAATTTTTCAGTTAACTTAATTTCAGGCTATTTGAAATTCTAATACATAACAACTGGTACATGTTCCTGTAATTTCAGCCGTATATATTCAACTAGGAAGATAATTAAAAGAAACATGCAAAAGAGGATAAAGTTTTCAATCTTAGTTTCAAACTAACTAATAAAATGTAAGATATGACTCATTTATTTGTTTCATTGAGTCTCTTTAGACAAAACACTTATGTTTCAGGTCTTATTTTTAAAACAATAAGTAGTCATTTTATTCCATTCTTTTCTTCAATAAGAAAAATCAACGTTTTCTTTGTTGTAAGTTTTAATACGTGTTCATATGTATTTAATGAAACTTAGTTTCAAGTTTATTTTCTTAAGGAGTGCTTTAGTTCATTATTTCATGACATCAACAGATCATGCTATTACTACAAAATTCGGAACTTTTCAGTTTACCATAACAATTGTTAATTCTTAAGTTTTCAAGAAGAAGAAGAAGCAAAAACATTAAAAATATTTTCTACGAAGAAACTAGGTTACAGTACACCCAGTTTTCTACACTTCACACACATTTTGATTTTACTATTGTGAACAGCTTTATCTTTTTTCCATGCATTTAGGAGTACAAGAAATATTTGTCGAATGTACATTTTTAGCTGAGTTACTGTAACTGGGTTAAAGAAAAATCTAAGTTTACTTCTCGTGCAAAGTAAGGTTTATCGCTAGCAAATGAATAGAGCAATTACACTTTCTGTGAATAGTTTATCAGAAATATTTACAAAAAAAAACTAAGTCAAATGAATACAAAATTATTTATCCTATTTCAATATAGATTATTCGTATTACGTATTCGGGTAGAAGGATACATAAAAAGACAAAAACTACATACGTTGTTATACAATGCGAACAGTGTAAAAATTAGATCACTTAAAAGCTTGTGATATATTGATTTCACAATATGCCATGACAAATAATGATTCAATAATGGCGTACATGTTTTCAAAAGACGTTATACACCACCGAACAAAGAAAAAATAAAATAAAATTTCTCTCATTTGCTTGGTCGTGGTATATGATTTCGAAAATATTTTAGACAATATATTATAGACACAATGATCGGAACGTTATGAGTTTTAGGTGTAACTCTAGTGTTTAGATGTAGTCCTAGCGTTCAGTTGTAGTCCTAGGTTTCCGGTGTAGCTGTCCATAATTTTGAGATCATGACAACCATGTGTAAAATTGGACAACTAAAAATAATAATATAGAGCTTATAAAAGAAACTAAATATAAGACAATAGATTTGAAGCTTAGTTTCCGATGTGAAGAAGTGGAATTTTCAATCAACGAATGAGTTGGGGGAAATGTTCAGTTTTGTTAAATTATGAATTGATGTTAAAGATAAGAATTGTTATACGGCTTATTTGGTGATACAAAGAAATACAGTTGTAGAAAACATACATTAATCAAACATCAAAGAAAGCTTCTAGCACTAGATTTAAAAGAAATTCAGTTAAGCACACTTATATCATTTTCTGATTTTATTTCTTCCTGTATCGAGGTTTAAAGAACTTCTTTAAAGAGTTACATACACTTTACACATACATTCAAAATTGAAACAACTATAATAATAATAACTGAAATACATGTAGTTTTTTGTAATAAGGTTTGTTTCTAGTCAAGCACAAAACTACACAATGGGCTATCTGTGCTCTGCCCACCACGGGTATTGAAACCTGGTTTCTAGCGTTGTAAGTCCGCAAACATGCCGCAGTGTGACTAGGAGCCATTGCAATAATGAATGAAAATAAAGTGAAAATATGAAGGACATAGAGTTAAATATTAATTTTCTTATACTATTACATACATACAAACATACGTATAAGTTATCAAAATCTTTAAAAACATACTGATTTATCTCGAATTCTCGATTCGCAATCTGAGGGTCGCAGGTTCGAACCTCTGTTTCACCAAACATGCTCGCCCTTTCAGCCGTGCGAGCGTTCTAATGTGACGGTCAATCCCATTATTCGTTGGTAAAAGAGTAGCCCAAGAGTTGGCGGTGGGTGGTGATGAC